TTGACAGAGTTCAGGGGCGCGGCCAAGAGGAGGACAAGAGGAGGACAGCCACACAGAGTTGACAGAGTTCAGGGGCGCGGCCAAAAGGAGGACAAGAAAAGGACAAGGCCAAGCCACAGAGCCCACCCACAGAGCCCAGCCACAAAGTTGACAGAGTTCAGGGGCGCGGCCAAGAGGAAGACAAGAAAAAAACAAAGCCCAGCCACAGAGTTGACAGAGTTCAGGGGCGCGGCCAAGTGGAGGACAAGAGAAAGACAAGGCCCAGCCACAGAGCCCAGCCACAGAGCCCAGCCACAGGGCTCAGCCACAAAGCCCAGCCACAGAGTTCAGGGGCGCGGCCAGTGAGTGTGGCCAGCTCTTTTCTTTCTAAGATAGAACCCCAACAGTAAACTGTTTGGGGAAAAAGGAACAAACAAATCCTCACGGCGCGTCTCCTCGTGCGTCCTCTTGATCAGTTTCCTCTGCGACAACGCGCCCTTGCCCCGTGCATTGCCATGCAAAAATCACAGTTGATGAGCTCACGGAAAAACTGATCGTTTCAGTGCCAAGATTCGCCAGAATCCGTCAAGCCATCACAGGATTCATAGTCCACTGAATTGTTTCGCTTTGCCACCTGAAAACTTCCTTTGGAAGTCTCCGCAGCCACTCCCCACGAGAGGCTGTGTAGAAGCCTGCCTTGAACTGGAAAGGACAGTGGGGCAGTGTACAAAATGTCGCCCGCACGGATCAATTCGCAATCATTGCGGTCATTTCCTTCAATGTCAAATTTGCAATGGTTCTCTGTTGCACCTGAAACAGCTGAGGAAGCAAAGCCAATGACCATTGTTTCATTGGTGAAATTGGTGTTGCAATCCCTTTCTTTTACTTTGCCTCCATGAACTTGTTGCAAAATCGTCAAGGACATGACCATAGCCCTGCAGCCTCCACTGTACAATGTCCGTGGCATGTCCAGTTCATCGTCTACACCAATGAACAACCCACGGGGATACAATTTGAGGAAGGTGCTCTTCAACGTCGTTGGCATGCAAATTCTCGTGTGCTTGGCAATAGCTTCTTCAATGTTGTTGAATTCATTATTGTTCTGGTTTTCAATGACCAACAAAGATGCCAAAGAAGCCGTGTAGCTCGAAATCGTCACCAACATGAAGAAACTGAATGCTAAACTGAACACTCGGAAAGGCCATTCGAGTGATTGTTTGCGGTGTGGACGCCTCGTCGTGAGTTCGCCCAACAAAAAGTCAGTGATGATGGTGGCCGCGATAAAGCCCAGTCTGGTGTACCACTGATACTCGTACCAATGGTCTTGGGCCTCTTGCGCCAAATTTAACTCGGCGCCCGCGACCCACAGAGTCAAGGCCAAAACGATCAAGAATAGGCCCACCTGGACATCCGAGGCAAACGACATGAAGCGACTGTCGATCGAGCGACATCCCTGTTTTCAATCTTTTCGGACTCACTCCAAGGGACCAGCGCCCAAGCACCCGCGCTAAAGGGAAGGAATGGCCGCCCCAGTCGATCCCAAAATGTTACCTTGCACAAAACACAAACTGTGATTTGTGGTACAAAACTTTACAAAGCCATCAACGCAAAAACCCTATGCGCAAGTTTGCGTGACTGAAAAATGACTTTTATGTCATATGTCACTGCAAATCCTGGTGTGGTCCTGGCTTGTTAGGTTTACAGGCAAACATGTTAGAATCTTGGCCCGGTAAGATTGTTTTCGTCTCCACTAGCTAAAGGGCCCTGGGATTGAACCCAAGTTGCGTGTCATACCCTGCCAGCTGTACAAAATACAAACGAATTCAAGAAATCACACCCGTCTACAGGCTTGACACGTGGGCTGGGCAGCAGTGCTTTGTACATTGCAAGATATTGCAAGGTTCATGCATATTGGGCTGACCGATTCCACTTGAATGAAAATCTCACACACCAGGCGCCAGGAATGAATTCTGGAACCTGCCTCTCATGAGGTCTCGATGCCACTGATCACACTGCCTCGCCGCTCACCAGTACTCAGAGCAAGTAGTCCGGCCGCGTGGACGTTACTGTTAGAGACAATCTGCAAGTTGCCTGCCAGTATCAATCCATTGAAACATCTCTGCGCGCCCTGTCTCAAGCCCGACATTCCAAGACGCTTATCTCGGACTTTGCGCATCGCTTCAGCGCGCAAGTGATCGCTGAGTGAACAACAGTCACACACAGAGATGCGTCCTTTTCTTTTGGCTTTCCTCGCGCCGCAAATGCGGCCAAGCATCTCATACCCATAGGGCGCGCGCTTCTGCCTGACGCGATGCTCTGCGCACTCTCTTCAAGGTTGAGGAGCTCCATGAGATCAAACGCCTCTGTTGGTGAGGTAGCGAATTCTCCTTTGGTTCATTTGCAACGCTCGCGTCTGAGAAGCTCACAATCATCAGGATCATCAGGTCACTCGAGTCAATCCATTTTTTTGCAATGCAATCTTGAAACCTTGGGCATAACCGTTTGCATACTTCAATTTCAGCACTGTTGCCTTCACGCTGCATGGCCCCTGCACTTAATATTCACCTTGAAGCAAGAGAGTCAAGTTTTCCGTACCTTCTCACCCATGCCAGAGAACCAACCGCACTCCGCAAGGAAGGAAACTCTTCTGGGGTCGCGACGTCTGTCATCTTTCCCGACTGCGAATTTGTCATCCAACACTGTCTGTACTGCATCCTTCCTTCTTATAGGTAGTAGCAGGGCGAATCTTGAACCAGAGCAAGGGCGGCGACGAGACTACGTTTGGCGGAAGCAACTGTCACGCGAGACTGTACGCACAGCATCTGGCTAGGAGGAAGCGCGGGGCAGGCCAGGCGAGCGGTGCCCAGAAAGGCCACCGGGCTACTTTGCCCTCAGTGATGATGGAGCCAGTGGGTCTGAGGACGTCGAGCGGACAATGTCAGTGACAGTTTCAGTGTTGTCTCACAGGACACGCGCGGTCGAGGATGTTCTTGATCGTATCCACCCACTTGGATCGCGCAACGCTATGGCTTTCCCTGAGACACTGTCCAGAATCTGCTGCGTAGCCAAGGAGCAGCTGCTGCGCTGCCTCTGCAAGGTCCTCTTTGCGCGTAGGTCTCGTCAGTCTCACATTCCGTAACACGCAGCAGCCAATGCCATAGCGGTCCCGGAGTCCTCAACATGCATAGTCCCATTCGGAATCTTCTGAGTCGTGCTGGGCACCAACATAATTACCCATGTTCGACGATTTGTTCGGGTTCTGGTTTTAACGGTTTCAACGTTCGAGGCGATAAAGATCTGCCGCTAACTGCAAATATCCCAATACGCTACGCGAGGATTCCCTTGGCCCTCCCTTCTGTACGATGTTGCGGTAGTAGAAGCTAGTCTGTGGCGCAGTGTGCAGGAGCACGGGGCTCACGCAGGTGGATCTTTCCATGGTGTTCCAACAACACTGCATTAAAGGCATCAAAGGTCGATTTGCTCTTAGCCAAAGAAGTTCTCCACGCATGGCGTCGCTGATCGCCATGGTGGAATCCCGTCAACGCCTTCTCCTCAAACACTCTCCCCACGCTGCAGACTCAAAGGCCCAGTGATCAGCTGGCCAATGCGGCCTTACCTTACCTTGCTGATCAACTGCTCAACTCCATCTTCCTGCATTAACACAGCAACTCCCGAGCAAGTCGTCACGTCTCAAGCCTTCAAATGCCTTCTCCAACTCAGCGCGTAAGAGCTCAACTTCTGACGTCACCTTCTCCACGTCCAATGCGTTCAGCGTGGTTCAGCCATCATCTCTTTTGCGTTCAGCCATCCTGAATTCCCATGCGTGGAATCTGGCCGGCTCCCCGGCGCGATCAACCAAGCTCCAACGCAACTCTGGTGGGCAAAGCTGCAAAAAAACAAGTCCTAGGTCGGCGAGCCGCTGTGAGAGCCCGGGCTGGGAAACGCTCTCCAGCGCCGGCTGCTACCAGTTTGAATCTTAAAGGTATAGGTTAGCGCGCGTCAATACACATCATACCCTGGTACGTATGTCTCATTGTTTGCCTGCACCCTACATGCGGCTCAAGACCCCGTATGCTTTACAAAGGGTCCAAGATGGTTCAAGTAGAAGGTAAGGCGCGCAAAAACCTGCCTTCAACTTGTCTGCTATAGCCTTGCAAGAAGGCAACTACCCCAAGCATTTCGCACCGACCACCTTAAAGCTTCAGGCCAGCGCATTTCAGCGTATCACTGCCCCTTCCGAAGCCATACATAATGAGGTCTATGTTCGGACGGTTGCAATCCGCTACACTCTACCTTTTCAGCTTACACGCGCTGCACTCTGATCCACAATCGCACCACGTGCTGGAGCTCAAAATTCTTGAGAATCATCACGCGTGTTGGTTTGAATGACCCAGTTAACCTCCTGGCCTACCTAGACTTTTGTTGGTTCGGTTTCTTTGTTGGCTGGGTAACAACTGGACGGGACAGGGTTGAGAGGAGTGCGCAAAAACAAACAAAAAATAGCGCAAACACAGAAAAGCGAGCGCGCACAAAGCAGGAAGCAGCAAAAGCCAAGTAAAGTAAAGGAAACCAAGCAAGCAAGCAAGCAAGCAAGCAAGCAAGCAAGCAAGCAAGCAA